GAGAACTAAGCGTCCGATTTGAATGATTCAAAAAACTTTCTGCGTGTTTTAACAAAATGGTTACTTTTGGAAAAAATAATTTGTTTCAATTTTTTTTTTGTATATCGAAAATAATTCATATTTTAATTTTAATTCTGACGTTCTAATATACTTTAAACAAATAATTTCAACTTTGTAATTCAGTTTATATGTTTCTTATAAATATTAGACAATGTTACGGAAAGTATTTATTTATAATAATCCATTTGAAAACATTTAATATTTTTCGAACATTTCTTTATGGTACGGGAAGTTCCAGCAATTTGCCTTAAGGCACGATGCCATACACCACTAGTTTTCTATTATAGAGAAAAAATAATGCACTTCAAATCTTAATCGGGATTATTAATTTTTTTCATTAGATTAGAAATTAAAAATATGTGTTCATAAAAATCAGTTATCAATTCTAAATAATTACTAATATGGTCAATTGAAAAAAGTTAATCATACTGCAACAAAAGTATTTATTAAATATTTTTATATCGTTAGTTATCAGCATTAAAATTATCGATTATAAATTTGAAACAAAACCATTATAATTCTTCATACTATTGCTATAGTGTGAGAAAATATTTACGTTCATCGGGCAAATTCTTTAAAAAAATAAATTAATAATTACTATTAAAAATTACATTAATATTCGTCATTGTCAGTTAAACGTAAGTTGAAGTTCACCCATGCTTGGTTTATTTGATACTTTTCAAATGTTTCCGAAATAACGATTTATTTTATATCATTATTTCATGTTGCAAGGTATATTTGAAAATAATTCTATATTCTAAATACAGATCAAAAGTTTTCTGACAGGCGAAATAGTTTAAGTGAATTGCATGTTTTACTAGTTTTGTATACTAGAACGAATAGAGAATATTATTTGTACACTAGAATGTAAACTTGAGTGAATATCTGCAGTTTTTTATATCCCTGAGCTCTAGTTCTGTTTTAGTTTTAAAAAATGGATCATCGAACATTCAACAAAAATAACAAATCTTTAAAAATGCTCTGTAAAAATAGTAAAATCAGTGCAATAAATATTTTATTAGTTATTATTATTGTTTTTATTAGTTGAACGGAATGATGAGCACTTCACAATGTCTTTATAAATGGAATAATATCTGATTCTGATTCGATTTCTTGAAAACGTTATAGATAAATGATACCATGGGCTATATAGACTATAGGGTAGAGTGGGGCACAAAGACCCAAATTGACTTTGAGCAATTATATTGTAAAAACTATACTAACTATATTTGACTATGTTCAGTAAAACTCCTAGCTTCATAAGCAGAGTTGAAATAGCTATTTATTTAATTTATTCCTTGTAAAATAACTTTTTTGCTTAATTTACTTTTTCATTCAGTATTTTTTATTTTTACACCTTTGTCCGGGTAAAAGTTCAGCTGGTCCTTTTTACCCCGTCCACGTGTAAGCGTTTATAGAGGTTATATAAAAAACTATTTTATTGAATCTAACTCAAAATTAACAATACATCTTATAAAACAATTAAATAACGAATACATAAAAATTATATTAAGTTATCGTAAACTATACATCAGTGCTTACAACCAAAGAAGCTAATAGCGAAGGAAAATACTTTTGTTATTTTTTCCTACTTTCAAATATTGTTGTTAAAATTTCTTAACTTTACTTGTTTTTGCGATATCGGTGGTGGATCTTTTTACCAATGGATCTTCAAACCCAGGTCTACCATATATTAATTTTAGTCTACGATCAGGAACCGTGATAAAATGTTTACTCAATTTTTGGATCATACGTAAAACCTATTTTATAGAAAATCAAAAATATTTTTCTCTATATAATGACTTTCTAAAACAATATTTTCTTTATACGATCGGATTTATTGGGGGCATTACACTAAACATTACTAAATGAACGCAATTTTTCTACAATTTTTTTTCACGTACGCCCTATATAGTAAGTAATTTATATCCTATATATTAATAAAAAGATAATATTTTGCAAATAATCAAATATTTAAAGTATTTAGTACCATGTTATGTTTGAAGCAAGGCTCTGAACAAATAGAGACATGGCTTTTTGTTCGGCATTATGCAAAATAAAGATGTATTAGATTTCATTTATGTTATTTGTTCATTACAAAATGGCCAAAGAAAGCCATTAACGGGTGTTAATAAAACAAATTATATTACGCAGTTAATAGAGTTATTGTTATTGGTATGTATAGCGAAACCCTTGTTCACTAATTACAATAAATATCGTTGGACAAAATTTTCAAAATATATTAGGTCACGTTTGACTCATGTATTTATAGTGAGTAATATATTTATATTTATATTAGTACATATAATTTTCTCCTTATCGTCTATTGGAGAATGTAAAATAAATGCATTTATAATTACATAAATTAACACACACAGACTTTATTATTAGCCACAAGCTTATCGATAATATTTTGTCAACAATAAGAAAAATGTAGCATATAATAGCACGTGTAAATTTTAAATACGTATTTATATATATACTTACAAGATTAAAATCTTTGACAAACAGGCTGGTGATCAAACTCTTGAAAACTGACGTCAATCAGTTTTAGCTCGAATTCGTTGGATAACATGAGTTATCGTTTCACTAAAAATGTTCCTGATTATTAGGTTAAACATAGGTAGTTTGGTAATCTTTATTTGTTTTCCATCGCTCGAGAAATGCTGTAAAAATAAAAAAAAAACATAGAAAATATTTTGATTGTTCTCTTTGAAAAGCAATAAGAACAAATAAGCTCTTGTGATGATACTTCTTCTCAACGTCGCTTTTAAAAGGCAATCCCATGGCTGCCTTATCTATTTGATACATTTTGTATCAGAAGACAACCCAATGGTTTTTCTTTCTAATAGTAATGCTATATTTTAACTTATTGCTGTATTGCCGACAAGAGCTAGAAATCTGTATTTTCTAATAAAAATCTATATCACATCTGCTTAATATCAGGTTGTCCCAAAACTGAAGCGTTGGCAGAAACAATTTCTGAAAAACTTATCAAGATTCACATTAAAATTTCATAAAATAAAATTTATTTAAACACAATATAATTTTATCAGAAGAGTTTATATATTAATTTTTTATTACAAAATATTTATTTGTATCTAAATAGGCACGTAATTATTATTTTAACAAGTATAAAATATTCACAGATGCTTTCTATTGCATAAATAGCAATAAAAGCATTTATTTCATATTATAGCATTATCATGTAAAATATTTTGTAAAAAATTTTTCAATATAATAACTTTATAATGTTTTAACATTGCATAGAAATACAAATAAAAAATTGGCAAGAATTACTCGCATGATGTTATTCAATTTCAGTTTAGTTTTTAGAATTACTTTGCAGGATTACCCATTTAGAAAAGATACACGATACGACTACATTATATATATATATATATATATATATATATATATATATATATATACAGCGCAAATAGTGATACATTTGGCCCCTTCTCGTTTGAATTTAAGCTAACTAAATTACTTTATACTAGATAATGACTGTAAATGTAAATTTAATTATTAACATGTATTTTATAAATAATATTGGCAGTTCTTGTATGCTGACTTATAACTAAGTTTTAGTTTTATAAAAGTATGTTAAGCTAAAATATATACATCGAACACTTTTTACAGAATTAAGTAGCAAACCTTCTTAACTATGTCATTAAATATGCATTCATATTATTCATGATTTGACTAAAGATAAATTATCACTAACTGTATTGGACATATAAATAATTTTAATAATAAGTAAAGCTTTGTACACATTTAAAACGTTAATATAATGTATAAGGTACATGTACCCTTCAATATCTGGAAGAGAATCTTTGATATGCATTAAGAAATGTGAATTGCAAATAAATATAACCTGAATAGATTAATTTAAAAATAGTATGGTAAATTTTATTCTATAAAAACTATTTATATTCATATTCTTTGGTTTAATAAAATTGTGATATATATTATATTCATAATTATTATTTTCCATTTTAAATGCAACAACGTAACTTACAATCAATAAAGTAACATTAAAGAAGAGCAACCGTTCATGAACATGACTCAGAATATTTTCTACAATTTCTATAATTATGAAATGGTAATTTCATCATCCCGTGTATTTTGTTAAAAATTAAAAACTAAAAGTATTAGTTCAAATTACGTAAAATTGTTTTGGTAATTTATGTAGTTTTTTAAAAAATTATTCAAATTTATTCATATTTATATTAACTCATTCAACATTAATATGACTTCGTGCGTTGTCTATGAAAAAAAATAACATTTATGAAAATTTTCAAAATAAAGCTTCATCCACATATATTTCGAACTAATACTTTGGAACTCATAAAAAAATATGTGAATATTTAGTTCCTTGAAAAGTAATCGGTGTTCAAATTTGATGTACCTAAACTTTTTGTACTTACGAATAAGGTTAAAAAATATTAGGAGCAGGTCGTGAACGATTCTCTCAAAATTGATTAAACGACATTCATGTCAAGATAGTCAAAAAATGACAAACCGTCAATATAATATAAAAATTTGACTTTATATAATTTTACTTAAAGTTACTTAAATATTATTTAAAATGCAATAATTCTCATTTATACAATATTTGTTGTTTCGTTTGCAATCTATAATTTATTATTTATATAAACATTAGATAAGGCTTTATAAATAATATTAATTCTTAATACGTAATAATTACACTATGACTCATAATATGTTTAATGTTTAATTGTTATATAAATACTTTTCTATCATAAACAACAAGAAACTTTATAAAATAAATTATAATTTGTGATTATTGTTCGATTCATATCAATACTGACTAAGCGTTTGCTTTTGATTTCACAAATATTTGAAAATACGTAAGACGTAATAATTATACGTGACGTTCTTAATTTCATTAGCACTGGTCATTATCATTTCCGCAAAGTAAATACAAAATATTTTTAATATTTTTTATGCCAGGATTGACATTTTCCAAACATGAATGTAAAGTAACGATTTTCAATTATCTATTGAAGAGTTATTGATTATTTTAACTAAGTATAATAAAATTATATTTTAGTCTTACGTGCATCAATGTGCAACAGGACATGAACCTAGGAGGACATTGTGCAGACTATCCATGTCCGTCCAATCCTTGATTTTTCCCTCAAGAGCAACATTTCTTATGCATCCATTGAAATTGTCCCTGGTAACTAGACTGCCACTCGTAGCTTCGTCTGAAAGAACAAACATATGATAATATTAAAAGGGTATTCTAGTGTAAAAATAAAAAAAACTATTTTTTTATTTCATATTTTCAAAGTTTAACTATCTAAGAATATGGGTACGAGAAGGTTTTTGAAAATTTGAATTATTTTCGGAGATATAGGCATTTTACTGACTCGGTCTCCATACTGGTGTGGCTTCACGCAAAACTTTAAATGCGTTTTTCTCAGAACAGACTTTTTCAGTACTGTTGACACGACTTCTCAAGTTCTACTCGACCGATTCACTTGAAATGTTCAGAGAGAGTCTTGTTCATAGACCTATCTATAGCCCAAACTAGCATCATTCCCAAATTCCAATTTTTATTATATTTAAAAATTTCGTGAAACTCAAAAAAACAGTAAAAAAGACACTTTTTTTTCAAACAGTCGCCAATTTGTAAAAAAAGATTTTTTTACTCATCGCTAGATCGAGCTATTGCGACAACATTGTAATGTAATAATCTTTTTATTTCTTTTATTTCTGATGGCTAAGAGGGCTGAAATCATGTCAAGACTGAGGTGCCAATTTTTTGTGACCACTCACTTCATCGGCTGCCAGTTTCTTCAATATTCATTTTTTTTTTTTAATTTTTGTATTGTATTTTAATTATATTAATAAACAAGTGGTAAAAAAATTAATAGTAAAAACATTCATTGCTTTCTTTTACGACACTTTAAAAATGAACTAAAATTCATCGCTCTACACTAGAATACCTCCTTAATATAATTTCGTGTTTTTTTATTCATATTTTATTAATGTCGTATCAACGGCTTAATGCGTATTGCTTAAAGCCAAATTATGGGTCAATTCAGCCGTAAAATAGACCAATGTCTATTTTAAAATATTTAATTCTAAATTCCAAAATATCTAACATATGTCTAAAAAGCCTGACTGCGCAGTAATTACAAATCATTTGGACAGTTTTTAGTGATAGTTTATATGAAAAACGCAGGGTAACATAGCCTTGCCATAACTTTGGTCCGTTTTACGGTCGAATTGGACCATTACTTTATTATTAGTGACATTTTCATTTCAATTACACTTTAGTCAGATCGATCAATTGCAACAATGAACCCCGTATCTGGGGTACTCTGTTAAATGGCAAGGATCACAATGTTACAACATCAAATAGTAAAATAATATGAAAAACTTTTTAACAAATTTTGAATTTCTCATATAATTTCGTATAAAAATTCGCCTGACGTTTGGTTTTCATTGTTGCAGCGTTTACAAGAGGAAGTACAATCTAAATGTTTTCCAACAGTAACGTCCATATGCTGTTCTGAGAGAAAAAAAAATTATTGTTGTTACTTCCATTTCGATATCATTTATTTATATTTCGTTTTCAATTTACGATTTCATACTAATTTATTAAAATAAAAATAGATACACAAATTTTAATTGATGTTCACTGTTGTAATGAAACACTGTCATCGTAAAATAGTTATGCGAACAAATCGGACTCATATGAGACAAATCGAAACAAGTATCACATAAGTCATTTTAGTTTATATTTTCAAAAATTTACTTAACGATAATTTGAAGCTACATATTAAAGGAATATAAAAAACCACAATTACTCTTCTATATATATTAACAAATGAATTAAAAAGTTTGAAAGCTTTTTTCTACGTTCAACCACACAAATTCGCTTATCGTTTGCTATTTCTGAGAAACGGTACACATTTGGACAACAACAACGGTTTAATATGAAAGCTCACTAGCTTGTTTAAACTGTATGCCAAAATTAAATAAAATAACTAGCAAACCGGGCGAACTCTGTTTCACCACCAGATGGTTTCACTTTATGTAAAATTTCGTTTAGTGATTAAAAAATGAAAAAAATTACCTGCTGTTGGAAGTGAATAAAAATTTGCACAATACACGTGATTGATTTGATGGTTTCCAATTGAAATGTTAGGAAACGAATAACTTATTTTTTTACATTTTTTGCACAATTTCACAGTGAACATAATGCCGGTTTGTCATATGAAATTAACTGAGCAGAGAACAATGAGTAGCTGTCAAACACATGAGTAGCACTCAAACAAAAAATATTAGTTTGCAGTACATGCTAAGTATCGAAGATGACGATGTATGTAAAAAAAGAAAAAGTGTTTTCCACTTTTCTGTTGGAATCTTTCTTCAAATTTCTTTGTTATAAACCTCACGGAGCCCAAGATCTTTCCAACGAATGCAAAATCGTCGAAATCGGTTCGTGCGTTCAGGAGTTATATCGTCAGGAAGGAAAACCCGACTTATTTTTATATACGCTAATAACAGAGTCGTCGATATTGGCAATGTAACAATGTGCTCATAATTAACAAATCATCGAAATATGCTTATATCGGTACGATATAACTTTTACAAAAAATGCATTTTGTTCAAAATTTAAAAATTTTATATATACAAAATAAACACTAGCTTCTGCCCAACAATTTTATTGTTTTGGACCCGAATTTGCAAGACAGCTTCGTCTATATTTAGCGCAAGATTCATGAAGTGTGCAAAAAATACTTTCCATGGTAAACCAAAATTATCAGTGTTTAAAAACTAAACTTCGAAGACTCAGTAAATTTTTTAAAAAATATACATAAAAAGAACATAATCTTAAACGCAAAATGGTTTTGAAAAAAATGTAAAATTTAATTTACACTAGATTTGTTTCATATTAAAAGTTAAAATCTATACTTTTTTGTTTTTATGAATTTAACTTTAGAGATTAAAGGAATAATTGCCTTAATAATAAAGTAAATTAAATAATACAAACCAGGCAGTCCTCCTATATATAAAGGACCTTTAAATATAGGCATGTCATGTCCAGGAGGCGCCCTGACTCTTGACCATGGTAGTAGCTGATCAACTCGAATTGACAGTTCTTCAGAATCGTATAATGCCGATATGTTGTGCCATTTATTATCGCACAACAAAGGCAATTCTCTTGCTAATACTAAAGGAGATCCGTTACCAGAATCCACCGACATAATTATCTGCAAATTAAAATAAACCAACGTTGTGAAAAAATCTTGGTAAAAATCATTGACTTTCAATCTTAGTCAATAAGAAAACTTAAGTTAAATCGTATTATCGACTTTTATATATATATATATATATATACAGGGCCGGATTTAGAAATTTGGCGCCCCGGGGCACTGACAAAAATGCCGCCCCATCCCTGAAATTTTACGAACTTTCGAACTATTTTTAAAGCAATCGCGCTGCTTCAGCTGCGTAGGGACAAAATATAGAAGCGCGTAAGCGCCGCGTCGCAGTCTAAAGGATAAACAATGTTACAAAATACTTATATATGTAAACAAAATTTATACTTATTATTATAATAGCTTTAAAATATCTGATAATTTAATGTGCATATGTGCATATGATCACTTTTGTCCGCTAAATGTTTCTTTTTTTTCAAATTTTTTTATTGGATGATCGAAACCGCTAAACCTGCCCCCCACAAATTTAAGCAGTTATTTATTCTGTAATTTTTTTTTGAATGATATTTGACCCTTTTTTTCTAAAAACTGAATTATCATTTTTGGCATTTTGGCCCGTATTTTCAAAACGGTTAGACCTGCCTTGGCCAATAACTAATCAGCACGTCTCCTTATCAATAGGAATTGAATCATTTAAATCGGTTGATCCGTATTCTCGAAATCGGTTGAATAATTACAAAATATTAGATTTGTATTGATGGAGAGACGTGCTGATTAGCTTTTGGCACAGGCAATTACAAAAAATGATAATTGAGTTTCGATATTTCTTCTATGAAATAGCTACGCAGCGCGATTACTTTGCAAAAAGTTCATAATTTTCGAAAAATTTCAAAATACAAAAAATGTATTTTAAAAGTCTTTTTTTTTCATTTTTCAAAAAAATTTAAAGCTCTTTATAAAATGTAATTTTTAGTATGCGATGTTTCAGTAATTTGTCATAAGGCACAATGCCATGAGTCACTAGTTTAATTTTTTTTCGACGCTATAAGTTTGGAAGTGCACAAATTCGTTATTTTAAGAGGGCTTGAGAACTGAAGAACATATTTTTCTCAAACTTTCAGCTTGTTTACGGATTTTTAAATTAGCCAATTTTGATAACTTATTAACCAATTTGATAATGTACGTTCGGAGAAGGAGGCAAGGCAAAATAATAAATTTTAGTTATCGGTTATTTCAGCCCAAATTTTGCATTGCAATCGTATTATGTTTTGTTAATGATATTTCTTGAAATAAAAAATGTTTTTTAAAAAAGTTGATTATATTGTATAGAATTTTTTTCTCACTATCCAAATTTTGCCGCCCTCCAAAATTTGCCGCCCTGGGCAGTAGCCCTGATTGCCCCTACTGTAAATCCAGCACTGTATATATATATATATATATATATATATATATATATATAAATGAACGTTGTTGTGTGTGTGTGATCGTGCGTGTAGATTATGGAATATGTAATACCTTGCTATCATTGATTTCTAAAGACAATGCTGGTTTTCCAGACTGATCAGCAATACTCAACAAGACTCCAGATGTTATCGACGTTCGGAACTCCAATTGCAATTCCAAAACTTTGTTTATAACAAATTCCTTATCTAAAACAAATATATAAATAAATAAAAAGTGGATAAATAAATAAATAAATAAACATATATAATATACTGCTTTAATCATAAAATAATATATACGCAAAGAAATATATTATGATTTTATTGATGTTACCATATACGGCATATGAATCTCCAGCAAAGTAAGATCCTCGTTCAACATTTGGAAAGCATTGTCTCACATTACTAATAAATCCTCCAACTAAATCAATTTTCGCATCGTTGACTTTAAAACTACGAACGCATCCTTTCAAACCACCAAGTTTTTGCGTCTGAAAGAGAGTAATATATGTTTGAATTAGATTTTATGAATAATTAATTAATTTGCAAGTATTTGAAATAAAAAAACAACAAATAATTTAACTATTTATTATATACGTTTTGACACTAAATGTGTGTTATAATTCATCGAGTTAAAAACTTCCAAAAAAATATTTCATTCATAAGCTTCAAAATTAAAAAAAAAACTAAAGGTTATAACAAATTTAATATATCAATAAACACCTTGTTACAAAAGTTATTTATACAACAAATTAGCATATTGTTTCATGAAAAACAAAGCTATGAATAAATTAAAATATAAAGAAAAACTTGCATAATAAATGATAAAGTTATATAGTGACTACATTGAAAATGTAGAAGCAAAGCAAAAGTTTTCTCTTATAAATACCAAGGGTTCACAATTCATCGTGCCAGGGACAAAAAATACCAAATTCTAGAAAATAATAATCCGTGAATTCTGCTTTTTTTCTAAGCGATTATTATTTCCAAGAATTCAGTATCTATTGGCTCTTTGAGACTATTTTCACTTGGAAACTTATTACCATCTAATGAAAATGGTGTGCTTCACATCAGGCTGGGGCGGACTGGATGCCAAAAGTTCTAACCACTAAGCAACCGCCAAATATTTATAATAACTAGCTGTAAGTGGAATTCTGTCTTAAGGCAATAAGGGCATCGTGCCTTCAGGCAAATTGTTGGAACTTCCCGTACCGCAATTCAAAATTCGAGTAATTAAAAATAATCAATAATAATAATCAATAAAAGTTGATCAATGATTTGAAACTTTTAATAAAATTTCGAACTATATTAAATCATTCCATCTTAAATCATTTATTTTGAAATATTTTGAGAAAATTCTAAATTTTTTTTCAAAGCAATCGTACTGCTTTAACTGCATAAAGACAAAATATCAAAGCGCGTAAGCGCCGCGTCGCCTTCTAACGCGTAAACATTGGTATGGAACCCATAGGAATGTAAACAAAATTTATACTTATTGTTAAAATCTCTATAGAATATCTGATAATTTGATGTGCATATGTCTAATGTTCATTTTTGACCGCCAAATGGCTCATTTTTTTACTTTTTCCTGCATATCTCTAAAGTCGTTAGACCTGTCTTTCCAAAAATTTGAACAGTTCTTCATTTAGTTTTTTGAATTATTCAAATCGGACGATCCGTTCTCTTAAAAACTGAGTTACCGTTTTCGGCACTTTTGTTGATCCGTGTTCCCGAAATCGTCGACGAAAATTTCTATCCGAACATACATATATACACACACACACACACACATACATCCATTTTTTCTAAGGTATGCCAAAATGTTCAGAAGGTTTTGAAACGTAAAGATCTATAAAAATTTTCATTTTCGATTTTTTGCGATTACTATAACTTGCCCTAAGGGAAGTTAAAAAACAAATTAACATTTTACGACACAAAAATAGCTCAACAATACATTCACTACAACAAATTATGTTGGGCAAAGATTTGAGTTATGAAGTACTTTTAAAATTGTTAATGATATTTTGGGATCATTTTTCATAGAGTCATATTAAATGTTATTACGCAATGTTTTAGTAAATGTATTTACTAACCATATTTACAGGCATTGGTAGTTCCTTATTCGGCAGTCCTCCAACGTATACAATGGGCGCAACTTTTATTTTATCCGGCAAGTTAGCTTGAGCGCTAGTAACGCCATCCACACTAAGTGTAGCTTTTCTTGATCCCCTTTTAGCCTCATCAGCATAGCTTCTATGTTCCTTCTTACCCTTCTTGCGTTTCTTCTTCTTAGGTTGCGCTTCATCAGTCTGTCGCTTTTCTCTATTTTCATCTTCATAAAAATAATTAATGTTAGGTTTCTGTTACTATCATTGAATTCAAATGTTGAAATAAAAAAATTGATACCATGCGTCTCGTGTAATTCTTCAGAATTTCTTGTTGTTCTAGAACCTGCTCGAGGTGCACTGACAACCAATTTGACGCGATGCCATTTGCCGTCATTCAAGCGAGTTGTTGGCAGTTGTAGGACAGCACGAGTTTTGCTAGATCGAACTTGTAGGATAAGTTGACCGTTTTCTAAAGACAGTATCACGTAATGTCTATGACTGGGTTTCGCCGGCTGAAAATGTAATAATTTTTGTAATTTATACACAGCTTAACATAAACTAAAATATACTAATAAAATGTATGCCATTTATCATGATCGTTATCTATTCAAAAAACAGATAAAAGCTAAATAGAAACTAGGAACTTATATCAAATATGACCATTATGATAATAGATTTTTTGAAAAAATAGTAACTAAATGGAGTAACTTCCTTGCAGTTGATAAACTTATAAATAAGAAGTTAGATTTAGTTATTTGGATAAAATTTTTAAAAAATTTCGAAAACAAACTTATGATAAAGTACATCGCACAAACACGCGTTTGCATATCCCATGCGTCGCCCATTGCTCCAATTTTTACCGAATTTGTATAATACTACCACTTTTCCTGCGCCCATAATATTGTAGCATATTCTTTAAAACTATGATTATCTATTATAATAAAACAGTTCCCTCATAATAGTCTAGAATATTTTTTTAACAATTAATCATATAGAAAAGGCCCGACCGATCTTTATCAAACACAAATCAGAACGATTCCGAATGAAAATCTTTCGAACAGTTTTTGAATTCTTCTAGAACGTAGATAAAAAATGTTGCACTTTTCGGCTAATTATGAAGAAAGGACTTGACTTATCGTCATGTAAAATTGGCAAACGCTAGTCCTTATCAATTTACATCGAATGGCTTTAAAGTTTTTTGGAACAGGTGCGGCCAAGGCCGGTCCTAACCTGAATGCATACATGCGAAAAATGCGGGCGCTCGCCTTAGGGGTGCTTTATAATTTTAATGACTAACTGTAAAAATAGTTAATAAAAATAAAGGAATGAAAACGCCCAGGAAAAAATGGCATGCGGGCGCTGAGGACCCTTAAAACGCTCCTGGGTGCAGCCATTATTGAGAAAACGTCGACAAAAACCAAATAAATCGGCTCACATACACATACACATTTTTCAAACCTGGCTTAAAGTAAAACACATGAAACTAACAAATTCAGATTTTCTGGCAAAAACAAGCTTCTGTTTCGGAAATTTAAAAAGTAAGCTGAAGTGCACTTATTTTTAACCGAATCATACATCATAAAACCCAGATATTACATTGTATAAGTTAATTATTGAATAATAGTTTACCAGTGTCGCAAACAGCAAACCATTTGGATAAAACGTTCTAAAGTCGAACTCGACTGTATATTCCTTCTGCCAAATATTCTTTTTAGCAAGATGAACTTCAGCGTAACTGTCACCACCATCTCCAAACTGGCCGCTGTCCTTTTGAATAGAATGAGCTCCAATCTATAAGACAATTTATATCAATTTTTGTAATAATGAATCATTATGAATAACTATAAGATTGTAAAATACCTTCATACAAGTTTGAGGAATGTTTGAAATTGCGCGTACTGTTGGTTGTGTGTCATTTTGTTCATCGTTTGAGCTACTCATAGACAAATTCGGGCCTAACCGTCCAATGCTCACATTTACGTGTGAAATTGAAGTATTAAAATTCAAAAGCCTAATTATAAAGAAAAAAATAATATTTGATAATTAATAATATATTTAATTCATATATACTGTAATAATTTATCAGTACATTTATAAATATGTGATATAATTATATATCGTGATATATTAATTATATATCGTGTCTCACTAATAAAAAATTAAAGCGCCCACGACATACAAAAACGGCATGGTTATTATTTTCAATTTCAAAAATTCAATTCCCTATCAAGGAACATTTACCAGGCCCTCTCAAATCTTGCCCATGTTCTTAGTATGCCTCTGTTTTGAGGATAATAATAAAAAACAAACCAAAACTACGTATTATTAATGCTAATTTTAAGATGAATCGAACAGCAAAGTTTAGAAAATCTAAACTATTCTATTGAATGTTATTTAGGCCTCATACTTACTTCTTTTCAAAGAGAACTTGTTTGATAGCTCCCACAAGAGGTTTATGTTCAATTCCATAGTTTTGAATAAGACTTTTTATATTCGATGGAATTCCACCAAAATACATACTTCCAGATTCATTAACGCTTAAGTTTCTACTCTGCGGCTTTTTAAGAACGACATTATCTTGCTCAATGTCATCGACAACCAACTTAAAATTTCTTTCGTTTTTCAAAATGCTGATAACATGAAATTCGCCGTCGTTATATGTTTTCTCTGATATCATCTGAACATGCTTTCCCTCTGTCGCAGCAATATTTGTATTTATCTTAAAAAGAATTTTTCCTTCTGAAAGTGAGACAGAGTAAAAACTATTGATTTCCATATCTTCGTTTCCTAAATCACTTGTGCTTGACTCAGAAGTCATATTAGGAATGTTTAATATTAACAAAGCATTCGAATCTCTACTTCTAAAGCCAAATTCGACATTGGCATTCTTTTGCATTGGCATAGATTTATCTAATTTAAGATATCCGTTCCCAGGGAATCCTAATGAAGTAATGTCGGTAAGTCGTGCCTCACACACAAGTTCAACTCCGTAAAATAAATTAGAAGTCAGATCTTGATTAAAATTATTCAGTTGGACTTTGTCTATATTGCCAAGCAGAGATGTAGTTGTAATACTCATTCCTGATATGTCAGTGAAATTTGGAGGTACACCTCCAAAATAGACAATTGAATTGTCAATTGAGGGAATATATTTTTCATCAGTAATAGGAAAGAGTGGATGTTCTTCGTATTCATTCGAATTAATCCGCAATTTTGCTGAAAACAATAAATATTAAATTAAATATTTGATAATTTTATAATTATTATCGAAGAAAAAAATCAGTTCAAATATATACAATGCATTTTTGAGAATACTTTCAATGTCTAATAGGGCAAGGTTGCTCAAGTCGATCACCTAAGGAAATAACGCTGTCATATATAGTGGAAATAAATTTAAAAAAATCTTCGGCGTTCATAGAATATTTATTTAATTGGCTTATAATTAAAAAATACTAAAATTTTATTTCTTTTTATTCATGTATTTTTACGTTTTGGAAAAGGAGAGCTTTCAGTACCATTAAGACGTTATTGGTTAGACCAACTTGATGTTTCGCAAGTTGCACAACAACTCTGCAATATTTATCAGGTTTATCAAAAGTTAAAATTAAATTAATCAAAATTTATTTATCATAAAAAAACAAAACGCTCTTTATAAAACAGGTACGAACAGAATTTTTTGCATAGATATGACTTAAGCAACAAGGTCTTTGAAGTTTGAAATTAGAACTACTAATTACTACTAAATAATTTAAACTAAATTATGACAATTATTTAATGCCATTTAATAAATAAACATTAGTGAATGAAATAAAAAAACCACATAAGGTTTACAAATGAGTCAAAACTAATAAAAAAAAGTTTACATAAAGCTTACTGTTTGATTAGGCTTAATTGTTTATGTCACAAAGCCTTCCAGTTTTGAACGTTTGTTCACCCTACTAAACAGTACTACTTAACACTACCAGATAATGTAATTTATACGAATCATAAAAAATGGCTGAGGTACGACTTGGGCGGTGGTAGACTCAACTCTACTTTACTTACCAATTTCCTTTTGCTTTTGGAATGATCGCAATGCCACTACTTGCACAGATATTCCGTTATTAACCACTTCTGGAGATTTTATCCTTAAAACATTCCCTGTCGAATACTTGATTACAAAGACTAGGTGTCCGTCTTCCAACATTAGAGCAACCAAACGATTCTGTATGAGTATAATAATTATATAAACATGACTACAACAAAGATATATATATATTTTAAACGCTTACTTTATCACGTTCATCTGCTAGAAACAAAAGTGCATCGCTGTCCAGTGTTAATAAACTGAATGACAAGAACATGTCCTTACCATGCTTGGTGAATGAGGTGGATTTCTCCAAGTTTGGATTACTGTAACCGTATCCGTTGAAATAATGATTGGATGTGCACTTATTACTTGGCCTGAAAAAAATTTATTTGCTTACTTCGATACTAATACAAAACAGACACAGACAGAAGAAACTAGTTGGTATTGGTATTTTGCCTTGAGGCAAGTTACACGAACTACCCGATGTATGTAAATAATAGACTTAATCAATAAAAAATTAATTCATGAGTGATTTGAAGTATTTTCTAGAAACAAATTTTCAAAAATCAATGATTTTTATAATAGAACCAGTTCCCGTCCAGGACTCTAATGATTTAGTATGTTCATTAAGACCACGTACTCTATCGTTATACGAGGGCCATGTAAAAAATAAGATTCCCACATTTTTTTCAGGGTTTAGACATTTTTTATTGCAATAAATGTGTATACCATCGGAAAGCTTGTATTTCAAACTATTTTTCTACATAGTCGCCAGATCTTTCAACGCATTTTTTCTGAGGAGTTTTCCACTTCTGAAAACCCGCTTCGAAGAACTCCGCCGCCACGCCCATGCTTGGTCTTCTTCTCCGGCGATTTTGGATGGCTCTTTTGAGTTTTGTTAGTGTCTCGCAGTACCTGTCCGAATTTATAGTGGACCCTTTAAGCATTAACTCGGTAAGCAAGACACTTTTTCGGTCCCAAAACTCGATGGCCTCCCGCTCCTTTGCTCGTCGTGAACGTCCGTGCGTCCTTCGGAAAACTCCCTGCACCATTTGAGGACGTGCTGGACGCTGATGCAAGATTTGCCTTAAACTTCTTCCAACTGTCTATGAATTTCAATAGGTGTAAGCTTTTTCGCGTTTAAAAATTGAATGACTGAATGGATTTTACACCTGGCAGTGACGGCGATTACGCGCTCCATCGCGATTGGCACTAAGCTTTGCAGTGATCTTCCACGTAGTTGGAATGGAGTGGCAAGAATCAACAATGAAAATAGTATTGCCGGATTTCCCCTAGTATCTCGCCCGGCGAGTGTACAGAGTTGGGAACCTTATTTTTTACATGCCCCTCGTGCCAAGTAAATCGTCTAATTTTAATTTTAACAAACGTCAAAAAAACTACTCATTTTCTCAAATTTTGATGATTTTTAAAAATTAAACTACTTTTCGTAAGGCCGTTATATTTTAGTAAGTTCTATAAGACCATGATATATATCGCAAAAAAGTTCCATAAAAATCGGCTTCAATTTTTTTTTCAACAGTTAATTACAAGAAAACGGCTCGGTAGATTTTCACCGAAAACTAATCAGTATCATTCCCAACTAATATATTTCAAACAGTTTTTGTTATTTTAAAATCGATTCGGTAATATAAGCGTAAATGTGGACAAAAAATTTAACACTTTTTTTCTAAATTACAAAGAAACGGCTCAGCAGATCGTCGCACAAAACTGACAAACGATAATACTCATCGAGATACATGAAATAGCTTCTAAAGTTCTGAAATCGGTTCAGGCGTTATTGAGCAAACGTCGATGAAAGGTCTAATTTAGACAAACGGCAAAAAACCGATACTAATTTTTGCAAACTTTTGCGTGATTCTAAAATTAAACGACTTATCGTAGGGCTGTAATATTATAGTATGATCTACAGGACATTGGTATCTACCGTCAAAAAAAATTCATAAAAATCGCCGAAAATTTTCTTTTTCTACACTTTATTACAAGAAAACGGGCCGGCCGATCTTTACCAAAAACTAATTAGTATCTTTCCCAACCTATATCCTTCAAACGGTTTTTGAATAATCAAAATCGATTCAGAAGCTAAAGTTTAAAACATAAATTTAAATATTTTATTACCCAACTCTCGCTGCAGCGCATTTAGAATTATTTATGTTAATAAAACTCCACAAGCCAATTGGTACAGAATCCAATTTAAGTTGATCTATTCGAGCCCGAAGCCCAATCTCGGTTGGTGTCTTTGGAGATAAGTCATGTTCGTCTAATTGGTCTATAGGAAAACCACCAAGCCACAACCTAGCTCCATTTTTTGGCAAATCGAGTATAGAATACACTTCATTGCCTACTACACGATCTTCATGCAAACGATTGCTAGAACCTAGCACTGCCAGTATCATATTTTGTGAGGTTCTGTATAAAAACATAGATTTTAAAATAAACATTTAAAACTTTATTATTAATATCCAAAATAATATAATCACCTAGTAACGCTAACTTTATACCATCCACTTTCTTCATTATCATCTGTTTGATCTAAGACAAGTGACAAATTGGTTTGACTAGTGACTCCACCTAAGTTCCATTTTACATTAACGGAACCTTCAATTAGCTCGACAGCAATGTATTCTTTTTTAACTCCAAGAATATATATAAGCCCAGACTCTGAAATACCAAATGGCACAGACATTTTGAATTCTATAAGGTTTGAACTGGATGAAGTGAGGAATTGTGGAGCATACTCCCGCTGGCATGGCTCATCAAACTGGGCTAATTCTTGTGTCAACGACAATGATATCTATAAATAATATTTAACTTATCAATTCAATGCGCACATACTATTTTCAAACAAAGTCATACAATAATAATAGCTTTTCAAATATTCAATAGCAAGTGATGTTTAATTTATACATACTTATATATTAATTTAAAACTTAATTCAAAACTATTAATGAATACTATCTTTTTTGTATATGTATATACACAATACTGATACCTAAGGATCAGTAATAAAATTTATAACTTCAAACGTTATGATAAAAATTCAGATTTAAAAATAATCAAACAGACATTATAAAATCATATAAAAAGCGTATGTACCCCATCAGCAATCTGTCTGGCAAAAGCAATTTGATTTCGAAGTTTTTGGAACATATTTGAGAGATTAACTATTTCATCTTCAGTAGTTCTTAGATTAGGTTCCAAAGTCTTCAGCTTTATGTTTATCTCTTGATAGTTATCATGGGATGTTTTCACTAAAAACAGAAGACAGAGCAATGACACATGACCTTAATTAGATTAGAAGATATATAACAATAGGTAATAATGATATACTAATTCAATTTACGTTAATTTTAAAATTAACTTTACTGCAATAATTTTGAAGTTTTGACACGTGTAGTAAAACATATATTTGACTGAGCTTTAACTTACAATCAAATCTAGGGATACATTCTCGAATTTGTATATACTTAATCAATAATTAATTATTATATCGTTTTGGATTTTTGAGGTAAAAGGCATATACAAATAATATTTTCAAAAATACACTTACAAACATCATTTAATTCGAATTTTTTGTCCGTACTATTTTTAAATTGACCAAAACTATCAGTCAAGTTTGGAATCGGACTCGTAAGTATTTCACTGGCCACATTAGCTGCGTGACTTGTTTCTCTCTCCATTATTATAATAATTTCTCTATCTTTCCCTTCAATAGTATCCAAATCTTGATTCATTTTTTCAACATCAATTCTCATTGATCGTAAAGGTTGTCTCAAATTATCCGTTTCTGTTATTTGTTTTCGTACGCGATCTCTGAGATCTGTTGATTAATAGTTGGATTAATATTAAGAATGGAATTTTATTTTTGTCATCAATTACATTTTATTTATAAAGTTTTTAATTAAAAATATAGAAAACAACGTGCTCAATATGCTTAACTTACTTTCGACCCTATTTGAAATATCCTTAGCTTGTTTATCGAGCTCTTCTGATTGTGTTTTAATTTCAAATGATTGATCAGTTAATTTAGGTCCATCTGATGGGTTGAGAGTTGTATCCGCTTCAGTTACAAATGATTTAGCTGATTGTACATTATTTTTAGTCTCACTAATGCCGTCTATAATTCTTTGATAGGCTGTGCTTGCCTCAACTGCTCTAGTTGTGTTCTCAGATATACTGAATTGCCTGAATTAAAAATAAATTTATTAAGAAAAACTAATTCTGACATAAATAATATAATCTAAAATAAGACTAGGTGTAAATTGTAAGGTGGTAATATATTGTATATATGTATATTAAAATTTTAACTATACATTAATGGTAATTGTACGGTTGAGTTCTTATTTACAAAATATTATTTACTTTTATACCCATGAGTCTAAAGAAAAGGTATATCTCTTAAATTAAAGCGTAAAATTATTGAAAAATATAAGAATGTACGAGGATGAAATAGCGTAACATAGACATGTGCTCCGATTAAACAAATAAGTTGATAAATTATATATCTCCAATAAGGGTCTTACAACAATTAAAAATCAGTTTTCTGAGCTCGAAACTTGTGGGTAAAATCACTCCGAAAAAGTTGCAACAGTTTGAGCATGGGAGTTGTCCAACGAGAAAAAAATAATAATTAAATTGATGAATAATATTACGATATTATATTGATAAATAATTTACGTTTGATATTAATGTTTTTTTACAAAAATTACAAAGCGGAAACAAATTATTGGTATTTAAATGTATTTATATGAGAAAAGTTGCTATGAGATACGACCAGTTCGAGCGTTGTTACATAGCAAATTAAATTCTAATGTCGAGGTGTATATATATATATATATATATATATATATATACCTATCCCCCGTTTTACACGATAGATACGTTACAGAAAAAACCGTGTAACTCGAAAAAATCACTCTTATATGAAAAACCGTGCTAAACGAAAGTTACCATGAAAAAGCCCTTCTTTAATATGATGAATAACGAATACATGAAACAAAAAATAAACATTATTATTTTTCATATCAAATATATTTAATAAATTATAAAAAAATAGTTTAATTTAATAATAAAACAAATAAAAAAACTAAAAAAAAATTTTTTACATATAAAAATTAAAATTGGTTTTTACAGATATAACCTTTTTTTACCCTATAGTTTTTACTTTCATCTGTTGCCACTGCCGAATTGTATTTTTTTTTTATAAATTAAAGATTGAAAAATGGTTCCGCTATTTGCTCACTTTGAATAAATGTACGCAATCTACTATATTTAAACACTAATTAAAAGCAAAGCTTAAAAACGAATATGCTCTTTGTTTTGATATTTCGATCAAACTAGCTTATACACATACAAAATTTGGATTTTGGATCATAAAACATTGAGTTGCCATCTCATCTACATATTTTCATCATAAACCTAGACTAATAAACATTCGTAACTGTAACATTTTGTAGTGCTGTATTTTGACAGTAAAACAATTAAAATGTTACTGTAGATTTAATAAAATATAATTCAGTGTTTATAATTTCGTGTAAATACAAAATTAATAAATTTCGTTAAAGATTATTTTCAAAAACCGTGTAAGATCGGAAACGTGTTAAACGAGTACCGTGTAAAACGGGTGATAGGTGTATATGTATATATATATATATATATATATATATATATATATATATATATCAAAAATTTATAAAATAATTAGCAAAAAATATGATACTGTATGAAAAAGTTCTAATTGAAAAATTATAGTGCATTTAAACAATTACATATTAAAAAAATGTACAAAAATTGTATACAGCACATTTTTTCCTAATAATTGTCTGTGTAAAACGCGTGTTAAACTTACGCTTTAAATCGTTCAGCATCTTCTTTCAATTTTAAAGCGTGTTCCATACTAGGCTTTACATAAATCTCGTCGTACTCTGGTCCCAATCTACGAAGAAGTTCTTCTTTCTGTTTTAAGTCGTCTTTGTAATTAGACCAGTCATTATCCCAATTCTCTAATCTAGTCTCGTATTCATCAAATGTTATGTTCAGGTAAAATGGAAGTACAGAGAGATCACCAGCCTTTTCCATGATATCTTCTACTTTCTCATTAAATGAAGATAGTGCATTTGTTAGAAAATCTATTTTATCTCTAACGTGTTTTTCAGTATTTGTGATGTTGAACATCTGCCTACGGCTGTCGTCAATTTTTCGATCAACAGCGTCCAAACTATTGTTCAAATTAACCCAATCCAATTTTTCTGCAGACCATGAAGGCAGCATCATATTAATGTAATCTAATAAAATCTCGCAATTTTCTAATTTTTTCTTTGCTTCTTCTTCAATATCACTTAATGAAATAGCTTTAATTTGGTTCAAGGTCTCGGTCGCATTCATCAAAGCAGCATCTGTATCAATAGTGGAAGCAGTCATTACGAAATTTTTCAACTGTTGAATAATATCATTCATGTCTTTAATAGCAGGTTCTAAATCATGTTCCCAGAATAATAAAGCATCATCTTTCAAATTTTCAGAGTCTGTAGATAGTTTTTCAATGTTGGTTAAATTCTGCCGTGCAAGATCAAGTGAATCCTTTATTTGCTTTTCCAGGTTTCTGTATTCATCGTCATTAATATTTAGGGATTCTGATGCACGATTCAATTGATCAAGTTGTTCTCTGAGCGATTGTGTTCTATTGACAAACTCAAATAACATAGGCCAAGGTGGGGAATACGTTGTGATGTGTGATTTGTTCCTCGTTCTAATTCTTCAATCAAATCATCTAGATCGTTCAGCAAAATTTGGGTGCAGTTATCACAAGCTGTAAAAGTAATTGCAATTGTTAAACCAAAAATATTTATAGATAACATTTATAGTGATAATCAACATATGGTCATTATATTCGAATGTCATAAATATTTGAACGCATTAGGAAAACCTACGTTGGCAATTGTCATTTACAAACTCGTGCCTATCTGCAATACATGTATCACATCTAGAACCCGTTACTCCACTTCTGCAAACACATTCTCCAGTTGTCGAATTACAATCCGATCCTGTACTACCGCCTTGTTCACAGTCGCATTTTTTACATTCTCCTCCAAATTCCATAGGATTTCCGAAATAACCGGATTGGCACATGTCGCATTTTGGACCAGTGTATCCTAAATAATTGAGCATTAAAAGAAGAATTAATTAAAATTAAAAACTCGCAAAAATATTAACAATAAATGAGATATATTTGAAGACATGTATAAGAAATTTTGTTGTATTTTATTTTTAAATATTATTTAAAATCATGCAAAAACGCTATTTTTTAATTTATTTCGATATTCATATTTATGTCGATAGTTTTAAGATTTTTTTCTAATTAAAAAAAAGAGTAAGTACGTTCGAACATTTTAAAACATATGGTATATACTAGACTCATTCGCAAATTTTAATGTTTAATGAATTAAAAAAAAATCGTAAAACTCAAAAAGGGTTTAAAAAAACCATTTTAATGTATATTATTTTGATTGACAATAAATCTATGTAAATAAAAAAAACATTTTGTCAAACTTTTTTTTTTATTTTGTCCGTAGTGTATACCATAGCGACAACATTCTAGTAAAGCTGCAATCGTGGGCATCTTTCAATCATCTTTCACGTCAATTTTTTGGAGCCCTCACTTCAACAACTGCTAATTTTTAAAATTATTAACCTTTTTTCGGTACTCTTGTAATATTAATAAAAAAAGTATAGAAAAAATAATAGTAAAAAACCAATTGATACCTTTTTTACAATTATTTTGAAGTGAAATAAAATTCATGCCTAGAATAGGCCCTTAATGTGCATCTAATGTCTTTAACGTGATCTTAACGTAGGTTTATTTTAAAATTGATCAAATGATCATTTGCTTCCAAAAACCGTTTTTGTACCATTTTTTTCTAAATACGATTAACATGCCTTAAGCAAAATTCAATAGGTTTCGTTCAAAAATACGAATTGGAATGGATTTGAAGAAGTTTTTGAAACTCACATAACGAGATGCCATTGTCAGTCAAAGGTATATTAATTGCTTCAATATGTTCAGGTAATATATGAATACGTTTTTACATTTCATAATATTATTTATGCAAGTCGCAATAGTATAATATTGCAATATTGAAAAAAAATAACTGTGATGAATGAATGTTTTTTATACTATTTTACGATTGAAATTTCATAATAGAATTAATAGAAAATTATTTCGTAATAATTTGATTGCAAAATGTGACCTAATCTTAAATTTGGACTTTCAATATAAAAATTGAATAATTGATTGATAGTTAGTTTGATCAAATGGACTTTAAAAATATTTTTACTGTAAAAATAAATTAATATCTTTAATACCTGTTTTTTTTTGCAGCCATATCTACTATTCATAGTTAGTATTCACTAAAATGAACTCACCTTCTTTGCATATACATTGCGGCTCAACTGAATTATGTGTAACGTTGCAATACTTGGCATTGTTTCTATCTTCATCAGGGCAAAGACAGGCTTTGCATCCTTCATTATCAGGATTTCCATAAAAGCCTTCAGCGCAATGTTGGCAGTGCTGACCTGCTGTGTTAAAACCGCAATCCTGGAGACAAATTTAAAAACATAATAATAAAAAATATTATTATTATGCAATTAGTTTAATAATGTAGAGGTATGAAAATTTTTGTAATGTAAGTCCTAGAATTCAATAGACAGGATATATAGGTCCAAATAATTAAACGAAGTGACTTCGAAGTTATGTTATATGATAATTTCGACGTGATATCAATGAAAGATTGTGGCTGGAGATCCATAAGAATTACTAATATAGTAGCATAATGTTTAACGATTAGTTCTTTGAATGGTAAAATTATGTATTATTTTATTCTTCTAAATAGTTGAACCAATCTTTATTGGATACTAGATGACCCGACAGACGTTGTAATTATTAACTTCCCGAAGGAGAAGTTTATGTTTATGTTTTTATTACACTATAGTCTATACCGAAATGTATATACTTTGCTTCAAATAAAATGATGAATATTTGCTTTTTTGAAAAACATTATAAAACATTTTTTTCTTAAAATTAGTTCTTTTATCGATATCCGATGTTATTTTGAAAAAAAAAAAAAATGAAATTACACCACTGAGACGGATGTCATCCCACCGGGAAATGGCAAAGGAGTCAAAATTATTCTCACTTTTGAACTTGAGAGTAAGATAAACCTAATTTCAAAATTTCATACAAATTGGAGCACAGTAAAAAAAATTCTGACACAAAACACTCCATTGACTTGAGTAAATATTCCGTATCCGATGGCAAAAATATGAAAATACTAACGTTTGTATGTGAAAAGAAAAAGGGCTGTTTTTAGAGTTTTCCCGGCAATTATTCGATTGCCGGGCCAAATTGGTTCAGGCTTTGTTGAGTTATGCGCTTACCAACACATTTTGCGATTCATTTTTATATTATAGATTATTCAAAAGCCTACAGATTTTGATTTCTCGAATTAAAATATTTCTAGAACCTATGTAATAGAATATACGGCGCAAAATAATCGATTTTTTTGGTAAATAGTTATTTCTAAATGTATTAGTTTTATTGATATCATAAATATTCAAATTTATTATTTTATTCCACCACTAGTATGGTGAAACCTTATAATAAAAAACACTATTAGTAATTATTATTTAATACATAAAATGAAAAATATGATTAAAAATTATCGCTTCAAAATTTTTCTACCACCTACCGTGCAATGGCCAGTTTCTCTATCGCAATTGGCGCTGCGACCATTACAATGGCATTTCTTAGCTTCTCCAATATATTTAGGAATCAGTTTGGCTGCTGGTTCAGTGTGTTTATGTCTGTGATAACCAAGAGCTGGATTTTGGCAAGATGTCCCTTCATATTCAGAAGGACATTCGCATAACTCGATACCTAATGCGGGATTACCAAGTATCGGAGTATCGTGTACCAGTATTGCAGTATCCAGTGATACATCTTTCAATCTGAAGAATAAATTGCATATAAATTCGGTAAAAAATTAAATCTAATGAAAGTAATGTGGTATAAGCAAAAAATTCTATATGTGTTCTAATGAAATTTTTACTAAATTTGGTTGCAAAATTTTTGATCAGCAATTACTGTGGTCCAATTTGAATTAATATTATTCATGGTTAAATGATAATTGTTGTTTTAGTTAAATACGTACATGATTTCATCAAAATCCTTGTAAGTAGTAGCTCGTATTATGAAAGCTGTAACCTTCTGCAATGCAACCATCATAAGCTCTCGAGTAACTTCTTTTTCACGATGATCGCGAACACGCCAATAAGACTCATGCAACATTATCGTGAAATTTTCTTTATTATCAATATTATTCTGAAATTATAGTTAATCCAATACATAGGTTGATATCACTAGTAATAATAATAATTATCATATATATACAAATCAATTAAACATAATTACTTACATCAAAATATTCAATCGTCAGTTCGTCATGTGCCACTAGCAATGCCAAAGGGTGTTTTGCTAGCACATGTCCATCAAACTCTCTCACATCGCTATTGTTTCTAATAGCGAATTCGAATCTTAGAGCTCCTCCATATGATAAAATTTTATCGCCTAGAAATCTTTCAGGTAGCTGGAAGTATATCGGATGATGAAACTCAAAATTAATACCGAGCGATATTGTTCTATTTGGTACAAAAGTTAGACCCTTCACAGCAGGCAATCTAAGATTTCGTTGTTGAATTTTTTGTATATTGTTTTTCTCATCCAATAGCTAGAAATATATGATGTAATATATAATACTTAATTCATCAATAAAATTATACAAAATATAAATGTATAAAGTATTAGGTGAAATTACCTCGTAATATACCAATTGATTTGCTCCGCCACCAGCTCGTAGGTGAATTATTTGCAATTTTATTTCGGAAACCAATCGAATCTGAAAGTAAAAAAACATATGCATATCATACAATACTCGAAAAATTAAAACATTTTAATAAGATGAGCTGCAAAGTTTTACCCCAACATATTAAAATTAAATATATAATAAGTCTATATATCCTTGTCATAATAATTGTATTCTAGCAAGTACAAAAATATTATAATGCTATTTATATTAAAATGAACAAAAATTAAGTATCGATATTGACATATATGAATAAATTAAGAATACAGTGTGATGTTAAGCGTCCACTAATCAGGTGAGTTTTTTGGGGGAAGGGGGGTTTGACAAAAAATCACAAAATATCACGTGGGGGAGGGAGGGGTATAGTAAGATATCACGTGTATTTATTTTTTAACTGATTTTTTAATTGAAAATCCAAACATTCAAAAAAAAAAATAAAAAAAATTTACAGTTTTTTCACGTAACTAAAAATACACGTGATGTTTGGTTGGGGAGGGGGGGGTAATTTTGAATATCACCATGTATCACCAATAGGGAGGGGGGGGCCAAAAATCTTAGAAACTCGCTCACGTGAATAATAGACACCCCCTAAAGTTATAATTCTACAATAATTTTTATACTTTACCTGTCCCCATGTCAATTTGGCCTGTGAACATTTCTGGCTGCGGCCAAAGCAGAAGCAAGTAGTACAACCATTAGGATTTAAAGGATTCAAACCAAAAGAGCCAGGCTTACAACTATCGCATTTTTGTCCTTCAGTTGACACCTAAATATTTTTTGCAAATATTAAAATTTCTAAATTATACAGAATGAATAATATTTTATTACCAGATATAGTATTTTGCTTTCAATTATAAATATTCGATCAAGTCTAAACACTTACTTAAATAAGTTATTATTAGAAGTAAGAAATAGTCAATTTGTTTTAATTGGTTAGTATATCCAAGAAGTTAAAATTACCTTGCAAGGGCACTGTCCACTTGTTAATTTGCATTCGCATTGGCCGCTGGTGGAATTGCAATATCTGGATTCGGTTCCGTCCAAATCACATTGGCATCTCTTGCAGTATGGAAGGCCATAGTAATACTTATCACATTCTTCGCAACGTTTTCCTCTGAAACCAGGTTTGCACTCACATTGGCCCGTTTTTTGATCACATTTGGAACTTAAGGATCCCGCCACGTGACATTTGCAATCCTAAAATAAATTCATGTTATTATGTTATAGAATCATGCATAGTGTTATTTCTGTATAAACTGAATGATTTTTCGTCTACCCGTGTGTAGTCACCCCACCGATAACGCGGTGAGTTCGTATCGTGTAATATGAAAACCTTACTATAGGAAACTCGGATTTAACGTACAAACGTACAATCCAGGCTAACCTTTAGTGCATTCTACAAAAACTGGCTATCGCGTTATATGAGAATCGTGTGATAAAAACCTTAAATTCCGTACCGCGTTATATAGAGACCAATAAATACAAAAAACATGATGAATTATAAATTAAGTTTCTTGAGTAATAATAAGAGTTCATATAAAGAGATGATAAAAATATAAAGTATTTTTCATTTAATTGAAGAGTTCATGCAAAGATGATAAAAAATAAAACAAAGATTAAACTAAAAAAATTTTTTGGCAAAACGATTTAACACTACTTAAACCATGTTTATATAAACATATTGTAAAGTATGAAAAAATCTAAAACTGAAATTAAAACCTTTTACTATATCTAGTTACTAAAGTCATTACAAGTTTGGAAGGAACTTATAGGCCGTTGAACAAAAACCGTCTTATCAGAGGGCTGCTGCAATTTCAGCCCGGGTGGTATGGAAACCGCGATCCCAGAGTACCGCGTTATCGAAAGGTTGAGTGTGATCGCTATAGTATGAATATATAAATCGAGTATTTTTAATTATGATTTTTAGGAGTTTTGAAAAATCTGTTTCAAATTTCCTGAAAAAAGCGACATTCCAAAATTGAAAAATGAAGTTCGGAAAAATGAAGAGTTTCTGTTCAAAATAATAAAAACATACATATAATTATATAATTTATAATAGTTCAAATACAAATATATTATATATATATATATATATATATATATATATATATTTACAGGGCCGCTCCTGGGGTACTCAGCGCCAGCATGCCAATTTTTTTTCTAGCGCCCCCCTCTATTATTTTATTTTTTTGAACAGTTTATCATTAAAATTATGTAAACATTTACGGTAATTTTTGTAAAAAAATAATAATAAATCTGGATTTAGTACACAAAAAATTAGATATAATCTAAACGCGCATAAAATACATTGATTTTAAATTATTTAGAAGATCAAGGCGATTTGCGGGTACTCATAGTTATCAAATACTAGTGCCTTTTATAGTTCTCGCACTAAGAAACTATTTTGAAATTTTTAGTTTCAATCCAAACTTTTTCCAAAATTTCAGTATGTTCATAATTGCTTGCAAAAATATTTTAAATTTTCATTTAATTCTAACGAACGTGCAATATTAATTGAAAGTGAAACAGTTTACTTATTTATTTTGAGGATTTTAAGTGATTTATTCTATTGAACAAATCAAAGAAAGCAAATAAACTTAGCCTCTCATTATCAAACATGACACTGGTACTTTGTGTTAAATTATTTTAATTTAATTTTTCATTATTTAAAATATCTAAAATTGCATCGTAAACTTCTCCTAATTGACATTGCAAGAGCCGAATTGTATGTATTCATCTTTATTTTTCTATCGTGTATCAGATTGTTGTTTTAAGTTTAAAAAATATTGTCCAAGATTAGTAAAAGATGCAAAGAAATTATATTTTTTAATGATATTGAAAAAACTATTATAAATTTTATATCCGAACCTCGTTTTGGCGCCCCCTAAGGCGTGCGCCCGCAGTTTTTGCATGCATTGCATTCAAGGCAGGACCGGCGATTTATATATATAGCAACTTTAATTAGTTTTTCTCATACGTTATGAATAATGATTTATTACCAAAACAATTTCTCAATATCATCGTATTACTAAGAAATAGCATGCCTCAGTAAATAATTAGATTGAGTTCTATATATTTACTGTTAGGCGATTAATCAATTTAAAAGTTACGACATAGACCTAAGACTAGATACACTTCGCCATTTGACCCTTTAAGACAGGTTTCTTGAATATAAATGTTTTTTTTTTGAATTCATTCAAAGATCCATCTCGTATACATATTTGAGTTGTGATCTTATCTAAATCTTCTGTAAAAACAATTGTCATTCATACCGGTATATCGCGGCGGGAATGAATAATTTCTAATAACAGATATATCTTCGATAGTACAGTTTACATGGAAAATAAAATGCTGGCTTTATGATTCGAAATAAATGATAAAAGGTTTAGCAGAATTAAACAATGTAACGTAAATAGTTTTATAGATATATAATGTCGCTTTATCATTTTATCCACGATTTACATGTAATTTTTCGATTAATTTTCGAAATCTCCAAGTTAATTAATATTATCATTGCTATTAAAAGCTCTAATCATTGGTTAAAAAAAATCGTGTTATAGTTATTGAACTGTAAACAAATTTCATATAGGTATCTGATACGAATAAATGATTAAGCTACATATTGATATTATGGAAAATGTTGTAGTCTACTGTAGGTCGTAAACTGTAAACTGTAACTGCATATTGATATAAAGTTCACAAATATTCAATACAATATTTAAATAATTTGCAAATTCAATATTGTTCATTCGAATAGCATTCTCCAAACTTAAAAAAAAATATCTTTCTGGTTATGTTTGATACATAAGAATGTTATAGTTATCAGAGTGTATACAGAGGTGTCCAATTTTCAATCAAATATGTTTCAAATATTTTAAAAATAAACATTAATTTATGCATTTAATTGTAATTGTTCACTATTATTTAATAAGATTATTTTATAAAAAAACATTTATTACTGATTATAAAATATTATTATTACACAAAAATGTAAGATTTTCAAATACATACTGAAATACTATTTAAACATATGAAGCTATTTTAAAATAATGTATATTTCATGAAGAGAACTTATTGTTGATTTTTATGTTTATCTCAAAATATATAAATAAAGATCCACAAAAAAGTTGTTGGTCAAAAATCTAATTTGGGGATCAATCTATAAAAAATGAAGAAAAATAAAAAAGCGACAAAATTTTCAATGAAGTAATTCTTCTTCATGATGATTAAAATTTTATAATTTCTGTTCTTCTCCGGCCTTTTTATCTTAAATGACTAATAGGTTTCACTTGAATGATATATTAAGTTGATTTTTGTAGAAAATAGCAGTAATTTCAGAAACATATTTTCAGATATTCAATTGCAAAAATATTTGCAGATTACCAGGGGCAATGGGGAGTAAATATGCTCGCAAATTACTGCTGAATTATACGAATAAATTTAATGAATCGTTTAACTCAATAGTTATTCAAGGTAAAAAGACTCAGGAGACGACAGAAATTATAAGATTTTAATTATCATGCAGTAAAATTACTAGATCGATTTTTTTATATTTTTATTTTACTCAATTTCTTGTAGTTTGACTACCAATTCTTTGGGAGAACCTGTGTGAATTAAAGTAGAAAAAGTAAAGAAAAAAACTAACACTGAAATTTTTAGAAACGCCAAGTATATTTTTGGTCCCAGGTTCATATATGGTTATAAATTAATTATAAAAATAAATAAAATCATCTTTACATTTTTACAATTTTTCCTATTCAAATTTAATTAATATATTTTTCAATAAAGTAGTTGCCAAGATTTCAGGATATATCTGAGTAAAGACGGCAAATGTTTTTGTTAGTCAATTCGTAGTGAATCTAAAGCATTTGTTCATATCAATTAAACGTTTGAGAAGATGCATCTTGCAAAACATACTTTACCATAATTCCATATTCTCATTTCAGATAAAGCATCCGACTAGTTAGTTTTTCTTCGCCTATCAAGAAACGTCGAAAGACGAGAGCGTATAAGTATGTAAATATTTGAACAGAGTTCAAAAAGTTCATATCTCATTCAGAAACCGGAAAAAGAGAAATTCATATCCGTTTGCTTAAAGACAAGTGCCCGCGCACCGTTAATAAACTTAACGATATATCAATTTTGGAGCCAAAACGGTTTACGTTTTCAATAGATCTTAATGATACTAATGACATGTAATCAATTTTTGACATAATGGAACAGGCGGGGAACTAGCAAGAACGATCACTTAAAGTTCTGGAGAAAGAAGCTTGATGGAAAAATTAATGCGGTTTGTCAGTAAATATTATTAATTAACGGAATGCATTTATGATTTATGACACTCGGGCATAAAATGATTCAAGCGCTATCCTAATGCTTCGTGGCCACTACGTGTTCATCAATTTATTGACAATTTGAGAAATTAGTCAACTCTTAATTTGAATTTTAGTTACCGCTGCAATTTTAATTAATTAATATAAACTTTTGTGTAGAATAATTGTTTGGTGACCAAAATTGTAATTGAAACATTTTTTGTAACTGTTGAAATTACAATATATCATAATTATACACCGTCTTTAATATAACAAATTAAATTTAAATCTAATATTTAGAATTTTTTAATAACAATAAACCATTTACACTCATAATTCGAGCCCGTCTATAATATAAGAAATTAAAAGAGAATTTAGTATTTAGTCTTTATTTAAAATTCTCTATTTTATTGTGAAGTTGTTTTCAATTATTTTGAATTAAACTACAATTAAATTCTTATATTAAGCAACAATTTAGTTAGTAAAATAATGATTAAATCTAATCCAAGTTGTTTGGACTTTGTTTTCCTCTTCACAATTAAAATCAAAAAGTACTGTAAATTAAACATTCTGGGAAGTTAATATATGGGCCGAATTTTTATTTTGCGTCGAAAAAAATATGGGAAGAAAAAATCAGTAATTATAAGCCTATATGTGTAAATGAAAAACAAAAAATCAGTTTAAACCATTTTTTTTGGTATCAATAAATAATGTGACTATCAAGTCACTGCGAACCATAATGTTCGCACTTGTGTGTATAAAAAGGTTACTTTAGATTGAAAAGCCTAACAGAAGTCATATATATTGATATTAGTTATGTTAACAACCATATAAAATAAAGTTTTATGTGCAATCATACAAAAAGCAGTAATTATTTGCTGAATTATCGAAAAATTTAAAATGTAACCTGAAAGTTAAGCGTGCCCATAGATGGATAATTTTATAATACACGAATTAGAAGTAGCATTAGACCTCGTTAAAAAAATTAATAACTTGAAACAATAAAATGAAGAAAAATAAAGCGAAACTATAAAACTTCCCAAAAAATAAAGCAAGTGCTATTTATGCAGAAAATGATTATGTAAAATATCGAAAAATTTGGAACGTGACCAAAAAGTTTCGCGGGCCCATAGAGGGTTAATTTTATAATATCTGAATTAAAAATGGCATTTTACCTCATTGAAAAATCAGTAAAACAACAAAGACTTAAAACAACAAAATAGAGCAAAATAAGTCAAAACTAAAGAATTTCCCAAAGAATAAAGCGGAAACAATAAAGTAAGTGCTACTTATGCGGAGAATTCATAAAGTTAGTGAGTTCCATATGGGCTCTTCAAAAAACTTAGTAGACCTGTATGTTTGTAGCTCTAATAGTTTAAACTCTTAATATTAACTTTTAGATAATCCCCACTCCAACCAACAAGTTTCTTGGTTTTTCTTCCTAAGTAAATACTTATTTTATAAAATATATCAAATTTTTGGTCGAAATAAGTAAATACAATGCTATTCTCAAAATTTTGATTTACTTGTCAAAAAACAAATGGAATTTTACCCATGTTATTTCCATAAGAAACTTTGATTAGAGTCTTGAAGTTGATATTGAGAGCTAAAACTTACAAAAAAAAATTTTAACCAATTTGGATGCATTTGAGCCCCTATGAACTTCAAAAATTTCTTCAATATTAAGTACCACCCTAATATATATATATATATATATATATATATATATATATATATTATATTACATGAATACATCACTCACCGTACAACCTCGACCAGGTTGTTGATTCCAGGCGTTCTCGAAGCACTGCTCACACCTAGGACCCGTACTGAGTCTGGGGCAAACACATCGGCCGGTGTCAGGATCGCAAATATGTCCGGGCTTATCGCAGTTTTCACACATTGAACATCCTCTGGCGGTAAGTCCATAATATCCAGGTGCACAACTGCAAAAGTCAATAAAGATAGATGTCAAAATAAAACAAATTAACCAGAGGGGCGCATGGCATCGTGTCTTAAGGCAAATTGCTAGAACTTCCCGTACCATTTTTTTTTTTAAAGATTAACATTTTTGAAAAAAAATACTCTGAAAATATTAGATTTTTGAGAAACTATATATTTTTGATAAAAATTTACTTTTTTGACAAAAAAGACTTTTTAAAGAAAAATTTATTTTGAAATATTTTGGAAATTCTGAATTTATTTCCAAAGCAATCGCACTGCTTTACCTGCATAGAGACGAAATATCGAAGCGCGTAACAAATTAACGTTAAAATTCAAATTAATTGGTAAAATTTACGCTCATTAAGATTGCAATAATTTGGTAAAGTATATCATTATGATGTTCTTTACTATTTGTGTGCAAGAGTTAACCCTTTGCAAGTTCTTTTTTTACGAGTAAAACAGTTTATGTATTTATCGTGAATCTTGTCAATTCTAACATAATTTTATTAGACTCTGTGCCATTTTAACAGAAAATAACAAGAAAACGCGTACTTCTTAAAAACTTGGAATAGGTGGAATAGTTTCATTTCATCCTCTAACAAGCTATCATGTTCCGATATGCTAGAACTTACTTTGTCCCTCAAACTCGGATTGCCTAATGCAAAGACTTAATATATGAAATTTCTAAATTAGGCTTAAATATGGTGATATTTAAATAATCTAACTCTAAATATATTAGCAAACTAAATCCATTATTAGAATGTTTACAATATTTGTTTTGGTATGGTATTTCAAAACTCTTATTGTCGGTAAAACTGAAACAGGTAACTGAGCAAATTGGGAAAAATCAATTTTTTACGATTATGTATACAAAAATGCTATTATTTTCGAAATATTTTTTAAAGTAGACAATAGACTTATTTTAACGCATACAAATTATCCTTTCTATAAGTTACTATACTCAAATAAAACTTGTGGTGCAAGGCATGATGCCTCAAGGCAAATTTTTGGAATTTTCCGTACCAGAAATAGATATTCGAGGATAAAAAATCTGCAATCAATAAATATTGATCAATGATTAATATCAATTGTTAACATTTTCGAATAGATAATTATAATCACTATATATTTTGTCGTTCATAAAATATACAGTATCTTTTATGTATCTCCGAAACCGCTAGGACCTACCTTACCAAAAATTCGTCGAACATGTTTTTTAAATCATTCTTATATTACTTGTAACATGTTTTTTAAATCATTCAAATCGGGTACTCCAATCTCTAAAAAAATAATTACCGCTTTTGGCACTTTTTCCCCGTTTCCCGATTCGTGCGCCCGTAATCGTGGACAAAAAATTGTATCCAAACCTACACACACACATACATCCATTTTTTCTAAAGTATGCCAAAATGTTCAGAAATCATCTTCAAAACGTAAAGATATGCAAGAATTTTCATTTTTATTTTTTTGCGATTACTATTACTTACCATACGAGAAGTTAAAAATTAAGAATCTCATCCACAAAATCTAAGCGCCAACGTTCAAGCAACGTGTATGTTTTTCATTATTTTAGTTTATGCAAGTCTTAAATATTTATGCCGATTGGATGAATTTAATATTGAGCATTTAAAAAACACATCTTGGACTTATCTTTACTTAATTAAATTTCTCATATATAATTCTTATTATTATTAGTTAAAATTAGCACAGAGAACAGTCTATATAAAAAAAACTTTAATCCTACAGCTTTTTATTCTTGAAGTCAATCTTATAACTTGAATTCAATAAAAGAAGCATACATTGAAATTAACAAGTTTACTAACTATATTGATTTATATTTATATTATCAAATTTGGCCTACCTGTCACAACGTAGACCAGTCACACTGGGCTTGCACAAACATTGTCCAGTATGTTGATCACAAGATCCATCAAGTGAGCCCAAAGGATCGCAGTTACAAGATATGCATCCTTCTCCAGACATTATGCCCCAATAACCCAACTGAAAAGAAAACGTATTTATGTTATATTTCCATCTTTAGTGTTAAAATCGTTATTATGCTCATAATAATGATGTCCAAATAAAATAATAATTATGAAATAAATTTGGAGTAAGCATGCAAGATGAAAAAGTAGTATGATTTTTACTAGTATTAATTTAACTCCCCAAATAAGACCAAAAATATTTTTATATACCAACCTTGCATATATTGCACTTAGGTTGTTCCACATTTTCTTTACACGTACACACTCCTGACACGATATCACACTTTTCAGTTCTGGATCCAAGTTTATCACAAAAACAACCTAGAAATAGAAGAAATCGTGTAATTTTTAAAACAAAGTTGACAAAATATAATAATAATAATAATAATAATAATAATAATAATAATAATGGGTAGTACTGCCCTAGGGCAGGTCTATGAGCTGAGTTAAACCTCAACTCGATTCAGTGAAGAATATTGTGAGAGTTTTTCCCATTTCAATTTCACACCGCAGTGCCCGAGATCAAAAACAAATTTTTGATCTATATTTTCAAGTAAATATGAAGATTGAGACAAAATATATATTAAATAAAAATAAATAGATCTTGTAGAACAAATTGATATCACATTTTCGAAAAAAATAGCTCGTTGATCAACTATTGTTCCGAAATGTATTTTTCAATGGTTGATTAAGCAAGCCATTCTAGTAACCTAATTTATTACATCAATTGTATTCGTGATTAAGTAATATTATCAGGCCCAAATTCTACTAACTCTTATTCATTTTAAATTAATTCAATTGCTAAACTTAATAAAGAACCCATTGTATTAGTGGTTCATTCGGAAAAGATATTTATTATACAGCATAATTGTAGTGTGAGTATGAGTATAGAAGGCTTGTGTTCCATAATTATTATAAAATAATACACAATGAAAAACATACCCACACATATTTTGAATATATCGAAAATGAATTGACTAATAATTGAAGTGCTGTATGACATTAGAAATAAAATAATTTTTGTTAGTATTAAGAGAGAAAAATATTTAAGTCATTAAGTCAAACATTCAGATCAGTCATAAAATTATATTTTAACATTAAATATCGATGTAGAAGTAAATTTATTTGATTTTAGAGTAAGTCAAGTTGTTGTAAAGTTTCATTGTGTTAAGAAGTTTTAGAATTATTTAAGTTTGTATAATTTTTACAATAGTGAATGAAATTGTGAATAAAGACAATGGTTTAAATTGGATGTAAATTAGGATTAAAGTTATCATAAGCTTGCTTATGAATAAATACGCTGAATAAAACAGCCAGATAATATGAATTAAAAAAAATGTATACCGATAAAATGATATAAACATAGTTGGAGAGTATTACTCTCGGGTAACAAACTCACATATTATAAAAAATATATATAAAATAATATAAAAATGAGGTTGATAAAATCTTCAAGATTTTAACTAAAGATTTTCTACCCTCCCGAAAGAGACGATATTTAAATATAAATAGATAAAACTATATGTATGTGCCAATTCACCATAAACAAATTGCAATTTTATGAGCTTTCCGATATGTGTCATTAGTCGAATTAATCACTAACTTAGGAATTTTTCAAATTTTAATTCTTCCAAACATAAATGTTGGCCAAATAGTCGGCCAGACTTAACAATTAATCAGCAAATCTTTCTCGAGTTTCAACAAAATCCATTTTAATTAAAATTTTGGAATCAGGGCAGGTGTTTTTAAAAAAAGTTGGACACAAAATTAAATTTTAGCTTACATTCGCACAATTCCAATTTTGATGTGAAATTATTCACAGCGACTTGAAACATTGAGAAAACATAAAATTATTGAATCGTATTATCCTCCGGAAGGTTTATTATAAAATCTGAAATGTTAAAATGATTCATGTCTTAATCTTGCAACCCAGACAGACTATCGATGCAGTATTAATCATTTTTATCTGCAATTGTTACATCAACATCAGAACATATTGTACGTACCACACAATGGAATCTGCATTATATATATATATATATATATATATATATATATATATATATATACATATATTTATATATAATGTATATATAATTGCAAAATGTGCGTTATTATCAAAGAACACCTCAAAATGAATCATTGTAATATATGTATGCAGAATTCAATGTAAATTTCTTCCAATGACAAGCCACTCCGCAAAGTTCTTGAAGTTCCTTACATTGCGTACAAATTGAAAGTATTAAAATTATATGAGCCATTCAATAAGTTCACGAAAGGAAAAGTATACTAGAAATTAACTTTAATTACTTTGTATGATTATTTATTAATTAGGATAGCAGACTAAATAATTATATTAATAATAAAAAACCAATCATATTAAATAAATTTGCCATTTGTTATAACAAAACCCAATATGGTAATTTTTTTGTAAATATTTAATAATTAAAAAATATATATAATAATTGTTTTAATTGCGATTGCAATAAAAATGCCGTTGTCCAACTAATACATCATTTATATGTATTATTTAATATTATATATAAAGTTTTCATAATTATCTACTCTGTTATTTTTTTAATTAATGAGGAGCATTGTGAATTAAACGAATTAATAATTTCAATTAATATTATTTTTATCAAGGAAAGTACAAACAAAATCACACAGTGTTTTGTTTTTCAATGATATTTATTTATTAAATGATATTATAACCAGTCTCAAGCGTTTTTACTATTCATAATTCGTAACCAATCTTTTAATTGCAATAATTACAAATATAAATACTAATAAACAGAATAGATACCCAAAAAACATGAGAAAAACACCCTCAAAATAAACTTTCCAAGGGTGACAATGACGCTAAATATCTGACAGCCAATTTTAAAATAAGACCACTGTGTCATTTTGTTTATATATACCATTATGTCCGTATTCTATCTATACCAAATAATAGAAGTAATATTATTATTATCGTATACCAATTTTGATAAAAAATCCTACGATTGTACTTATTGTTGTACAATATAAAACAACAGTTTAAAGACCATTTTTATATATTTCTAAAAAAAGTCTTTTTTTCTAAAAAAACGATTTATTCATGAGACGGAACTGATATATAGAAGAATAGTATAATTATTGAAATATTTCGAAAAATAAATAGTACTGATTTTATCTAGAAAATGATAGCGGCAGCGTATATGCAAAAAATGGGTAAACAATCTTAAAAAATGTGATATTAGTGGAATTTTGATTGTAAAAAACATTCTAAATAGTAAAGCTTGTATGTACACTATAAACTAATTTATTTTATTTCAACAAATTTTCATAAGCTTTCCAATACAAATTTCTATATTCGAATAATTGCATAGTTGTAGTTAATGAAAAAGTTCCTAGAGTTAATTAAAGTTAAAGTGAATTGAACAAAATCAATTAGAATAAAAATAATTTATATATATATATATATATATATATATATATACGAGGTCTGTTCAAAAAGTTTTCGTAATTTTCGTTTTTTTCAAAAAAATATTTATTCGTCTACATTAATGTGGTCCCCTTCAAAGTAGTCCCCCCCAGATATAATACACTTATGCCAGCGTTTTTTCCAATATTCGAAGCACCCTTGATATTCACTTTTTGATATGTCCTTGAGCACTCTCGGCGATTTTCTTCAATCGAGGAAAACCGCCGTCCTTTCATGGGTCTCTTCAACTTTGGGAATAGGAAAAAGTCACACGGAGCCATATCTGGTGAATTTTTGCACTTTGCAACACTTTATTTCATTTTTTACGCAAAATTTAATACAAATTCTTTGACTTTTCAATTCTTCCATTGTAAAAATCGCCGAGCTCAGAAAAACACGTCGAACCTTAGCGACTACCACAGACAAAGTAAACAGTGAATATAGCTGAAAATTTCATCATACTTTAGGGGCATGTATACCAACACAATAAAAAAAAAAATTTGACAATCAGACACTCCAGACCCGCGAAATTTAATTATTAGTAATTCGGGGTACTTTTTGAACAGACCATGTATATATATATATATATATATATATATATATATATATATACATATGAATTATCGTACTCTCTTGTACAACATACCAGGCACATTAAAAATGCAAATCGAGTTCAGGCGTTAATTAAAGTAAGTTTACTCATAAGCAATTATGTAACAGCTAATCTAATACGGATAATGCCAAAATATATTTGCAAGGTACTAAGTGGTAAAATAATTTATTATTAAGCTTATGTAATTTGCATGCCGCTAATTTGTAAATGCAACAAGCTGTTTATTGAAAATGCAAATTCAAGCTTTCAACTACGTTAAATTGTTAAAATATATTGGCACACTTTGATTACTACAAAAGACTAATATCAATTAAAGACTATAAAGTATGGAGAAAAATTTGATCACTGCAGTCGGTTAAATTTAAAAAAAAAACTATGAAACATTGATTTTATTTTTTATTACAAGTATAATAAGAAATATCAATAAAATGTTATTCAAGTAAAATTAATACGAAAAACCGATGTTTGATAGTAAACCATCATAGAGTTTTCTTACTATGATATTTGGTATGATTTCCGGGATTACCAAAAACCCACTTTCAGGAAACAAAATAATTATGTAAATTTATATATACATATATATATATATATATATATATATATATATCAATAGCTGGATTTTAACAATATAATTTTTACTACATGCAAGATTTCTCTGTTGTTGGAGACAAACGACAATTGATTCAAAAACGGTAAATTAAACATTCGCATAGCAAATTGCAAATTATCCATATAAAATCAAATTTATAGCAAGAACAAACAACTTAGATCTTAAAGTACATAAATTTCATTTTCATTCAGGATAGCTATCGATTACAAAATTGCACACATTATTCAAATTTGCATTACCTACGCTAGAGACGGATTTTATATTCACAAAAAGCAGAATGCTAAAATAATGAAACGGTACAGAAATAAATAACTTGAATAGATACATTTAATGGCATAATATATACTCGTTAGACACACATAAATCGAAGCTTTGATTTATCGACAGATATTAGTTTTATGTGCATGCTGCATGCTTTGTGGATGCCTTCATTCTGCGGAGCGCATTGTGCTTACCATTTTGCATCGATGAGAAAAATCTGTACTGATTTTTAGTGTAACTTTCTGATAAAAGGTTAAGAAAAATTTTAGTCTCTATTTGCCTCTAATATTTTAGTATGTTCATTAGGACCAGGCCTTCAATCGTCATATAAATTTTTTAACAATTACGAAAAAACGACCCGACCAACCTTTTTC